AAATAACAATGAACCACGAAAGAAAATAATTGTGAATATTTTTACAGAGTACTGATCATTAACTTTTAATTTCGGAATTGATCACTCTGATTTTATATAAGTATTTGATCAGTGCTTTAAAAAATAGATATTGTGTAAATTAATAAAATATACAAATTGATGTCTGAATCATGATTAACTAATACGATAAAATAAATATATACTTAAAGATTCATTATTGGTTTTAACCTGTACTTAGTGCGTCGACTCATATTTAAAATATATCTATATAAATATGAAAGTTATATAAACAGTTTGAGTTAATTCAACAGTTTGTGTTTAATTTAATAGTGTTTTTTTATAAAAGAATAGTTGTTTCACAATAAGTCTTTAACATTTAATAATAATATGAGTTTCAATTCCTCTCGCTCATATGATGAGATTGAATCGAACAAAAATGAGAGCAAAGATGTGATTAATAGAAAGGATGAAGATAGTTATGACCGAAGTCAAGTGAAGTTGAAATCAATTATCAGCAAAAATTTAACTTACATGACACTGAACAAATAATTAAGATCGAAGAAATTGTATCTAAAATGAAAACACCACACATCGAGAAGTATGATAATTCAGTATCAATTGAAAGTTGGCTTATGAAATATGAATTATTTGCTGATATAAATGGTTTTGACGAAAAAGAAAAAAGAAATTATCTATTATTTTATATGACTATAGATCCGTCAAGATATTGCTTAGAAATAATTATCGATAATCCTGATATTGATTATAATAATTTAAAAAATAAACTAATTAAACTGTTTTCTGGTACTAAAAATAATCCAATGAATTATCACGACATGATTTCACGCAGATTTCACAGTGATGAAGAAGACATACAAAAATATATATGCGATAAATTAGAATTGATGCAAAAAGTTGATAAGAATATGACTTTTGAAGCAAAGAAAGATCAACTATTATACGGTTTTCAAGGAACTTTATATAAAAAGATTAATTTGAAAATTTTATCAAAGAAACCCGAAAACATGGATGAACTTCAAGACATCATTATAGAACAGAATAACATTGAATGTGCAACTAATTCGCAAAATTTATTTACAAATTTTGAATATAAAAAAGAATTAAATAATGATTTTAATAAGAGTTTTTATTATGGATCAGATAATAAGACACAAAATAAGCTACAGGATCTTAATAACCACTACGAAGTTAATATAGTATGTTATACCTGTGGCCATGCTGGACATTATGCCAGACAATGTAACATCAGAAATTGGAATTAGTAATAACTTTTGTAATAATTAATGAGTTTTGATTTTAACTATAATGAAAATAATTAATGCTTTGAATTAATGTATAAAATTAATATAACAATTGAATGCAACTATGGACCTATTTTTATCCGGTAAAATACCGAAGAAACCCATTTGGTGGTTTGTTAAATCGCGCGTACTTTTATTAATGTCAAGTCGACTTCAACGACTATTTTTTAGTCATTAAATGTAAAGAAACGTTTATCTATTATAATTATTATTAGATCTTTTAATTGGCCATTAAAAGTGATAATAATTTTGGGACAACATATACTTTTCAGATAGTAACAAGTAACGTAATTATGTTATGTTTAAATATTGTATCGAATGGATATATGAAAAGCTTGTTGAACTAAGTTATATAATTTATTAGTTAAATAATTCTTTGTTTTATCTTTTAAAAAAATATTATATATATTTTAATGTTTATTGTAAACGTCTTTTCACTCGTGAGGACACGAGTATTTTAGAGGGGTGAGTAATGTGATATTTCACGTGAATTAGGTTAATAGTTAAACTGTGAGAGAGTTTTTTATTATATCGGCCGATGTCGGCTACTAATGATATCACATTTTCTCAGTTTAATTTATTTGATTATTATGTATAACATGATGTTATATGATTTCAAGGTTCCATAATGTATTGCAGTTATAGGTTTATTTTAATAATTATTTATTTAGTACATAAGGTGTACACATAGTTATTTGGGTTTAACAATGTAGCTGTGGGTTTTGGTTTGATATCCAATGATTATAAGTTTAGTTTAGTTAGCAAAAATATAGTTATTTGATTGGAAACAGAGAGATTACGCTGAAAGACGTCATAGAATATGATTTTTTCAGAGTGAAGAGAGTTAGTGTTTTACTAACTCTCAGAGAGTTCTCATCGAGTCGTCAAAGTGAATAGACGTGAAGTTTTATACTTGAATTGTATTTTTTACTTTATAACACGATAATAAAGAGATTTTACACAACTAAAGAGTAAGTGTTTCGAGGGGCTCGGGCCTTCGGCCCTGAGTCCCTTAAGAAAGTGTTAGCTTGCGATGTTAGTTAAAGTTAATTAAGTAAGTATAATTAACAGAGTTAATAATGTAAGTATTAGTGTTAATAATAAAGCCATCATCAAACGGAAACAGGACCGGACTATATCAGCAACTCAGCACGGATTCAACTATAAGTAAGTATTAGTTTAAGGTATGCCGATCTGCGGGAGCGTGGATTCAGCATGTAACATGTCGATCTATGGGAGCATAGGTCAGACATACTGGGTGTGCCGATCAGCCGATCAGGAGTGTAGATCAGCCATAGATCACGATGAAACATCGGGTCATGGTGTAATATAAGGGTTAGTCTCTCGGTGGAAACACCGATCGAGACTTAAGGTTTAATAGGTAACAGTAATGTTACCTAAGGGTTAGTCTCTCGGTGGAAACACCGATCGAGACTTAAGGTTTAATAGGTAATAGTAATGTTACCTAAGGGTTAGTCTCTCGGTGGAAACACCGATCGAGACTTAAGGTTTAATAGGTAACAGTAATGTTACCTAAGGGTTAGTCTCTCGGTGGAAACACCGATCGAGACTTAAGGTTTAATAGGTAATAGTAATGTTACCTAAGGGTTAGTCTCTCGGTGGAAACACCGATCGAGACTTAAGGTTTAATAGGTAACAGTAATGTTACCTTAAGGTTTGTCTCTCAGTGGAAACACCGATCGAGACATAGATTTAGTAGGTAACAGAAATGTTACCTTAAGGTTTGTCTCTCGGTGGAAACACTGATTGAGACATAGATTTAGTAGGTAACAGTAATGTTACCTTAAGGTTTTTCTCTCGGTGGAAACACCGATTGAGACATAGATTTAGTAGGTAACAGTAATGTTACCTTAAGGTTTGTCTCTCGGTGGAAACACCGATTGAGACATAGATTTAGTAGGTAACAGTAATGTTACCTTAAGGTTTGTCTCTCGGTGGAAACACCGATCGAGACATAGATTTAGTAGGTAACAGTAATGTTACCTTAAGGTTTGTCTCTCGGTGGAAACACCGATTGAGACATAGATTTAGTAGGTAACAGTAATGTTACCTTAAGGTTTGTCTCTCGGTGGAAACACCGATCGAGACATAGATTTAGTAGGTAACAGTAATGTTACCTTAAGGTTTGTCTCTCGGTGGAAACACCGATTGAGACATAGATTTAGTAGGTAACAGTAATGTTACCTTAAGGTTTGTCTCTCGGTGGAAACACCGATCGAGACATAGATTAGTAGGTAACAGTAATGTTACCTTCAGGTTTGTCTCTCGGTGGAAACACCGATTGAGACATAGATTTAGTAGGTAACAGTAATGTTACCTTAAGGTTTGTCTCTCGGTGGAAACACTGATTGAGACATAGATTTAGTAGGTAACAGTAATGTTACCTTAAGGTTTTTCTCTCGGTGGAAACACCGATTGAGACATAGATTTAGTAGGTAACAGTAATGTTACCTTAAGGTTTGTCTCTCGGTGGAAACACCGATTGAGACATAGATTTAGTAGGTAACAGTAATGTTACCTTAAGGTTTGTCTCTCGGTGGAAACACCGATCGAGACATAGATTTAGTAGGTAACAGTAATGTTACCTTAAGGTTTGTCTCTCGGTGGAAACACCGATTGAGACATAGATTTAGTAGGTAACAGTAATGTTACCTTAAGGTTTGTCTCTCGGTGGAAACACCGATCGAGACATAGATTAGTAGGTAACAGTAATGTTACCTTCAGGTTTGTCTCTCGGTGGAAACACCGATTGAGACATAGATTTAGTAGGTAACAGTAATGTTACCTTAAGGTTTGTCTCTCGGTGGAAACACCGATCGAGACATAGATTTAGTAGGTAACAGTAATGTTACCTTAAGGTTTGTCTCTCGTTGGAAACACCGATTGAGACATAGATTTAGTAGGTAACAGTAATGTTACCTTAAGGTTTGTCTCTCGGTGGAAACACCGATTGCGACATAATTTCAGACTGTAATAGTCGAATATGGGTTTAATATGTGATGGAAACGTTACATGTAGATCAATGAAAACATTGATCTAAGTAGTAGATCCGACTGAAGAGTTGGATATCGGTTAAGTATGATAAAGTTATATAAAGATATCGGTATGTATTATAAGAGTACATAGTGAGTATAGATAGTAAACAAAAGACGACAAACAACGAAGCAGCGGAAAGAACGGCAGGATCGGGACGTCTTAGAAGAAACAAAGGTAAGTAAGCTTTAAATAAATATAGTTGTAAGTAAATATCGTTGTGAAAACGTTGCGATCGCTGTCGTTGAGGGTGTCATCATCTTGGAGGTGATGATCCGTGTAGCTTTCGTGTCAACTTTACCGCTGGAGAAGGTGATAGTAAGCGCGGCTTTAACAGAGAATTATCCCTGAACCTACATTTGTGAATCACCGCACGGAAATTGCTACAATATTTGTTTTGATTAAAAAAAACAAATGTTGAAAAAATGTGTTTTTTTTGTCTATTCATTGACTACATAATGCATTTACACATTACAATCATATGCATTGTGGTATTAATGTTTAAACTGATATCTGAGACATCTATTAATAAATTTGTTTAAATTTTACAATATTTTGGTTTTGCTTTCACTGAAACAGAAATTTTTTAAATGCATTGAAGTTTCGTTTATATTCCGTATGTATTACTACTACTCTATGACTGATTGTAAACAGTATTTGAATTAATAATACAATCAATCAATCAATCAATTAGTTTATCAAATCAATTGATTTAATTGTTTGTTTGGTTTATAACTATCACCAGTAAAGTGATCACCAATTGGTCTTGAAATAAGACAACAACAGAAATATGGTTACCGATGATTACAAGCAAAAGTTGGCCGAATGTCCCGCCGGCGGCGGAGGCAGTGATCACTACCACCACCACCACAGCGACAACGGTATCAATGAAATTACCGATTCATTGAATGGCCAACAATTGATGGACAAACAACTGAAGAAAAAGAAGAAAAATAATAATAAGAAGACTCTGGAAGAAGAAGGAGGAGAACAACAGCAGATGTTCAGCAATGATGACAACAACAACAATACCGATACTAACGGTGCCATTGATAGTGACGCCAATCAATTGTTGGCGAATAATGGCCGACCAGAAGATGGTGACGACGACGGCGGCGATGACAGCAAAGAGACGACAACTATAGCCAGTCAGCAGATGAAGAAGAAGAAGAAGAATAATAAGAAGAAAAACAAACCAAAGTCTACGACTGAGACGACCACTTCTAATGGTGACGGCGGTGGCGTCGGCGGTGGACATAGACAGCAAACTACTCCGCCAACAGTGGCCATTGCCGATCTGTTTCCCGATACTGAGTTTCCCATTGGCCAAGAAATGGACTATCCTGTACCGCGTGATAGGTATGGTATATATATAATATAATAAAAACCCGATTTTTACAATAGTTTGTCACAATTCACAATCCCGTACATAGAGATAGGTATAGCCCGATTGACAATAATTATCGGTAAAACATTTGTTTTTTTTTTGTTTAATTAGTCAAACGGCGTCCAATCGTATGACATCGGCCGAAAAGAAAGTCCTGGATATGGCCAACACTGAGATCTACAAAGAGCTACGACTGGCGGCCGAAGCCCATCGTCAGACCAGACAGTATATGCATACTGTTATCAAACCGGGACTAACGATGATTCAGATTTGGTTAGTGTTTTGATTGCGTTGACTGTTTGTTTATATTTTCGGTCATTTACGGTATTATATTTTCATTTATATAAAACAATTTTTTTTAGCGAAACACTTGAGGAAACGGCACGTAAATTGATTGGCGAAAAAGGCCTCGAAGCTGGTCTGGCCTTTCCAACCGGTTGTTCGCTGAATCATTGCGCCGCACACTATACGCCCAACGCTGGCGATCCGACTGTCCTACAGTACGACGATGTATGCAAAATTGATTTCGGCACTCATATTAATGGACGGATTATCGACAGCGCCTATACCGTTACGTTCAACAATAAATATGATAAACTGCTGGAAGCGGTCAGAGATGCCACCAATACTGGCATCAAAACGGCCGGAATCGATGTCCGACTTTGCGATGTCGGCGAAGCTATTCAAGAGGTTATGGAGTCTTATGAAGTGGAAATCGATGGCAAAGTTTATCCAGGTTTGTGGTCACAAACGGTTTTTAAAAAAATCACCGATAGTTTTACTAAAATAAAATTAGTTTATTAAAAAATTTTTATTTTTATTTTTTTTAAAGTTAAATCAATTCGCAACCTAAGTGGCCATTCAATTGGTTCGTATCGAATACACGCTGAAAAAATGGTACCGAATGTCAAAGGAGGCGAACAGACAAAAATGGAGGTTTGGATTGAATTATTATTATTTTTGATAATTTATTTATTTTATTTTATTTTTAGTATAATTTGTGTTTTTTTTAATTACCGGTTAAATTGTATATTAATTTCAATTGCATTTTGTTTTTTTAATTTATTACCCGATAATTGATTTGATTGATTGATGGATGGATCGATTGGATCAACTAAAACAAAAAAAGGAAGGAGAGTTGTATGCAATTGAAACGTTTGGAAGTACTGGCAAAGGCTATGTTAACGACGATATGGAGACATCACATTACATGAAGAACTACGATGTCGGACACGTACCGCTTCGGTAGATAATTATTTTATACCGTTAACCCCCCCCCCACCCAACTCATTTACTAACGTAACTTATTAGTTAGTTAATTAAATTTGGTTAAAATATTAATAGTAGTAACGTATAGACCCGATTATAGCCCCCCTCGCTGACTAAATTTTTTAAATTTAAAAATCAACAATTAGTATGGGGTCTATATTTCACAAATACCTACCCCCTCTCCTACTGGGGCTATATATGAAGTCGTGGTGGACGAACAATTGGGGGATAGGGTTGTATATAGTTAATAAAATTAAAAATAGTTAAAATTAAATATACAATAATACTAAGTAATGATAGGAATAATAATAATTAATACAATAATCAGCTTCCGATCGGTTATTAAATTGAAAATAATTTGTTGACCACATTATTTGGCATTAAATAGTCAATGTATCAATATATTAAATTTTTTTAACTAGGGGGGGGGGGGGGGGGTAATTACAGACATTCAAAAAAAACTTCAATTATTTTAATAGTGGGGGTGGGCGTATTTGATAATTCATTAAAATAAACATTTGGTACGGGATGTGCTATATCTCACTTATTGCCACACATTTTCACACATATAACCACTGATGGCCAGGGGGTGGGTGGGGTGGCTATATGCGGGTCTATACGGGTAGTTTTAAACCTACTGCGGTAATGTTTTTCTATGACAACTTCAATTACCTTATTATATGATATGTTTTTTAAAAAAAAATAATTTACTAAATTATTGTTTGTTTGTTTGTTTGTTTTATTTTCGGTACTCGTTTCGGCCAACAGTTTGGCCAAATCTAAGCAACTATTGAATGTGATTAACCAGAACTTCGGTACACTAGCATTTTGTCGCCGATGGTTGGATCGTTTAGGTCAGACACGGTATCTAATGTCGCTGAAAGATCTGTGCGATAAGGGTATTGTCGATCCATGTCCGCCACTGTGCGACCAAAAGGGCAGTTATACGGCACAGTTTGAACACACAATCATATTGAGACCGACCTGTAAGGAAGTGGTCAGCCGAGGCGATGACTATTAGTATTTTTAATTTGATTTTTTAATTATTTTTTTGGATACTCTTATTATTATTTCTATTATTTTTTTATTAGTAGTATAATTATTAGTACAGTTTAGAGTCATCAACAAATATCTATATATTAAAAAAAAAAATTGAAATTGTTGCCAAAATAATAATAATAATAATTGACTGAAACAAATAAATAGTGATAATTTAATATTTATTGATTTAATATACTATATATATTATACAGTAGTTATCGGTAATTATTTTATGATTTACTACAATCTATACTATAGATACTATAGTATCCATATATATATATAAAAAATACTTTTATATTTTTAACTGATATGATTTATTTTTTTTGACAGTTAATGTATGATTTAATACTACATTATTTTCAACAATAATTAATTGTATTGTTTTTTTTTTATATTTAATTTATCGTAAATTTTGTTATATTTAATATATTTTCTATGATTTCAAATTTTCATATTTTTTTTAATTATTGTTATTATTATTAAAAGTACAACTAATAGTCATCTATACAAATATCTATATAGAAAAATTAATAAAATAAAAATTTTAATTTAATTATCTTAAACACTATTACCCGGTAATTGTAATAATAATAATAATAATAATAAATTGTTTTAAAAATGATTTTTTAAATATAATTATTAAATAATAATAATTAAAATACACGTAATTTTTGTGTTAAAGTCATATGTGTTTTCAATAGTACTGTTAAATGCATTGAATGACTGTTTGGTATTATTCCATATGTATTATTATAAAAAAAAACTGTTTGATTATATTCAAAACCAAAACAAATGGTAGTGACGCACTATAAGCACAGATTTTAACATAGATTACACTTAATATATATATATACTGTATATTATAAACATACAAATAAAAAATATTGTGTATAATAACTATATAACAATATGTCTATACTAGAGATCGGAACCGGGAGCATATTTTTTTAAGGAACCGAACCGTAAGTTACGTCACATAGTTTTACAAAAAAATATATCAATTTTAGTTTGTAATATTAAAAAATTCAGTTATTAATTATGTTTTATGATTAAGTATAATATAAAATAATTTTTTAATAACAAGATCGTTTAATTAGAAACCGTTTTTTAGGTTCCGATATCTAGTCTATGTTTTTTTTTGTAAAAAAAAACTCCGCCCCTCTACTGGCATTAAACACTACTAATATTGCGCGCATATATACTGTACAGTACATACACTACTGGTGTGTTAGTGTCTAAGGCCATTACTGTTTTGGTTTTGAATATAATCGAAAAATTTATTACTAATGTATTACTACTACTACTACTACTACTGTTATGTTTGAATGGAAACAATGTTTTTTCAATAATACAATTAATTAATTAATTATTTAATCAATCAATCAATTGATTTATAAAAACTAAATTTTTTTTTTTTAATTTAGTTTAAGATTTCTTGAGTTCAGTTCAGTTCAGTTCAGTTGTTGTTGTGGTAGAAGAAGAGGAAGAATAAGACGGAAGAAAACGATGGCCGCAGTCGTTACCGATGAGGACAACAAGCGTGTCGAGTGTCCCGGCGGTGTTGATGATGACCACCACCACAGCGACAACGGTGTCAACGAAATTACCGATGCATTGAATGGCCAACAATTGGATTCACAGAAGAAGAAGAACAAGAAAAAGAAGAAGAAAAACAAAAGCCAGAAGACTCAGGAAGAAGAAGATGGCGGAGAAGTAGGAGGAGAACAGCTGACCATCAATGATGACGACAACAACAATACTAATGGTGGCCATAATAATGGCGGTCCAGTAGATGGTGGCGACGACGGCGATGACAACAGTCAGTCGGCGACAGCCGGTCAACAGAAAAAGAAAAATCGTAAGAAAAACAAACCAAAATCAACGACCAATACAAGTACCACAGCTAGTTGTGGCGGCGGCGGACAACGTAAACAGCAAACAACGCCGCCGACAGTGGCCATTGCCGATCTGTTTCCCGATACTGATTTCCCCATTGGCCAAGAAATGGACTATCCTGTACCGCGTGATAGGTATGGTATATATATATAATATAATAAAAACCCGATTTTTACAATAGTTTGTCACAATTTTTTTAGTCAAACGGCGTCCAATCGTATGACATCGGCCGAGAAGAAAGTCCTGGATATGGCCAACACTGAGATCTACAAAGAGCTACGACTGGCGGCCGAAGCCCACCGTCAGACCAGACAGTATATGCATACAGTTATCAAACCGGGACTAACGATGATTCAGATTTGGTTAATATTTTTAATTATTGATTTGATTTTTAATGTCAATTACGGTAATTATTATTTTTGTTTAAATAATTTCAGCGAAACACTTGAGGAAACGGCACGCAAATTGATCGGCGAAAATGGACTCGAAGCTGGTCTGGCCTTTCCGACCGGTTGTTCGCTGAATCATTGCGCCGCACACTATACGCCCAACGCTGGCGATCCGACTGTCCTACAGTATGACGATGTCTGCAAAATAGATTTCGGTACTCATATCAACGGACGTATTATTGACTGCGCGTTTACCGTTGCGTTCAACAATAAATATGATAAACTGCTGGAAGCGGTCAGAGATGCCACCAATACTGGTATCAAAACGGCCGGAATCGATGTCCGACTTTGCGATGTCGGCGAAGCCATTCAAGAGGTTATGGAATCGTATGAAGTGGAAATCGATGGCAAAGTATATCCAGGTTTGTGGTCACAAACGGTTTTTCTTGTTATTATTTATACACATTATTAATGTTTCCGTTTTTTACCGATAATTACCGATTTTATTCATTTTTTAAAAAGTTAAATCAATTCGCAACCTAAATGGCCATTCAATTGGTTCGTATCGAATCCATGCGGGAAAGACAGTACCGATTGTCAAAGGAGGCGAACAGACAAAAATGGAGGTTTAGTATTGAATTATTTGTTTAGTATTTATAGTTTATTTTTGTTGATAATTACCACAATTTTTTTTTAAATTATGGTTTTTACTGTAATTTTTTTGTTGTTGCGGTAATTACTGATAAAATTTAATAATTTAATAATGTATTGTCTTTTTTTTATTGATTGATGGATCGGATCAACTAAAGGAAGGAGAGTTCTATGCAATTGAAACGTTTGGAAGTACTGGCAAAGGCTACGTTCACGACGATATGGAGACATCCCATTACATGAAGAACTACGAAGTCGGACACGTACCGCTTCGGTAGATAAAAAAATATATAATAATTATTATATACCGTATTAACCCAACCATCCCAACAACAAAAAAAAAATAATACCGTAACTCATTTTAGTAAACATAACTGTAGTTTTAGTTAAAAAGTACCGGTAGTTGAATAAAACTGCCAGTAAATTAAAATTTAATTATTATTTTTTTTAACAGTTTATAATATTTAACGGTAAACTACTGGTTAGGTGTTAGTTAGGTGTATGAGTCAATTGAGTTACCCGTCAAAGTCATTAATGATAGATTGGGGGTGTAGTGTTGTGGTATTTCTATTAACCTGAAACTCTAGCCCATGTTTTTATGTTTGATAACTTCATTACTATTATCATTATATATTAATATTTATTAAATTAATGTTTGTTTGTTTTTTTTTCGGTAACCCAAACAGTTTGGCCAAATCTAAGCAACTATTGAATGTGATTAACCAAAACTTCAGTACACTAGCATTTTGTCGCCGATGGTTAGACCGTTTAGGTCAGACCCGTTATCTAATGTCGCTGAAAGATCTGTGCGAAAAGGGTATCGTTGCTCCCTATCCGCCACTGTGCGACCAAAAGGGCTGTTATACCGCCCAGTTTGAGCACACAATCATATTGAGACCGACCTGTAAGGAAGTGGTCAGCAGAGGCGATGACTATTAGTATTTGAATTTGAATTTGATTTTTTTTGGATACTCTTATTATTTCTATTATTTTTTTTAAAAAAGAAATTTATAATTATTAGTACAGTTTAAGTCATCAACAAATATCTATATTTAAAAAAAAAAACTAAAAATTTAATTATTTTATGATTACTACGATCTATATATATATCCATATCATATATAAAATACTTTTATAGTTTTAATTGATATGATTTATTTTTGACAGTTTAATGTATGATTTAATACTATATTATTTTCGACAACAATTAGTGGACAACAATTGCATTTTTTTTAAATATTTACCGTAAATTTCTATCCTATTATATACAGTATTTTCTATGATTTAAATTTTCATATTTTTTTGTTGTTGTTGAAGACATTGACATTGAAATAACTTGTAATTGTTATCAACAAAAAAAAAATATATAATTTTTAATTTACTAAATTTGCTTTGTTGTTGAAAGCAATTATTATTATAATTTTTTTTTTAATTATTATTAATTATTGCTTATAAACACACAAACATTTACCAGTAATTAAATTTAATTATACAAAAATTTTTTTTCAATTAAATTAATAAAATAGAAATTATGAGTTACGATTTTATTTTTTGTTGGTAATGCAAACAATTTTATTATTTAAACTTTTTTTGTTTTAAAATTAATAATTTACATTTATATTTATAATTTTATTACAGTATTATTATTATTATAGTAAATGAAAATATTTAAAAAGTAATTTTTGAAATATATATTTACATTGAAATTTATATTCAAGAAACAAAAACAAATTATTAATTTACAGAAGCAATTGTTTAATAGATTTTTTTGTTTAAAATTTTGTTTATAATTATTATTATTTAATATTCAAAAGACTAGTTTATAATATAAATTAAGTTTTTTTTAAAAAAAGAGAATATTTTTTTTTTGTTCAAATTATTAATAAATATATAATAATACTAATATCAATAGTTTATATATATAGAAATATTTGAAAAATATATATACAAATTAAAATATAAATTGAATTTTTTGTAAATATGATAACAATGATAAATACAGATTTATTATTATTATTATTAATTAATTAATAATAATCAAATATGTATATATAATATATATATATATAATTACCGGTAGGTATATAAATTTATATATATATATATATACACACAAATTACTATGTAATAGATTTTATTTTATTGTTGATATTTTACTTTTAATATTATTAGTTATATTAAAAAAAAGTATTTATCGTTTAAAAAAAACAATTAACAATTTAATGGCTATTAGTAAGAGAGAGATAGAGAGAGATTTTTTTTTTAAAATGAGTATTTTATTTATTAATAATATATATATATTTATATATCAATAGTATATATTTATATATCAATAATATATATTTATATATCAATAGTATATATTTATATATCAATAATATATATTTATATATCAATAGTATATATTTATATATCAATAATATATATATTTAAAATTCAAAAAATGCATCCGAGATAATAATTGATGCCATAATAATAATAATAATTGAATAAAACAAATAAATAGTGGTATTTAATATTTATTAATTTAATATACTATATATTATAGTTATTATTATTATGAAGGAACTACAGATTCATTAGGAGATACCGATCGACGATTATTACAGTCGAGTTCAGCCGATTTTCGGCCACAATTTAGGCCACCATTAATGCCATTGTTGTTACCACCGATGATAATGTTTGTCTGGCTGTGATTGCTTAGCGATGATAGAAATCTGTGGCTATTTTGTTGTTGTTGTTGTTGAAGATATGGATGAAATTTTTGATAGTTTTGATATAAATTGTTTAATTGAAGTCGGGATGCATAGAGTGCCGATGCCGTAGTTCCCGTCGGATATATGGGTGGCATAGGTCCTGGTGCTGGCTGTCCATTGCTTTCGCTATTATTATTAGTATTGGCGAAACTATTGTTTGTCATCAGACCAGCCATCAGTGATGCTGATGATGATGTCGTTACACTGTTGTTGTTGTTGTTAGTGTTACTCATAAAAACTGATGATGAGGTATGTGTTGGTGCAGCAGATGATGATGACTGTGATAGTTGTGATGGTTGTCCGCCAACTGGTGAACTGTTTAGGGAATGTTGCGGTGATTGTGTGGTCGGTGTTTGAGATGCAGGAGGTGGTGGTGGTGGCGGTGGTTGAGGAACAGGAGGTGGTATACCGGGCATCATTGGAAATGTTCCGGGTAGATTCATCATAAAGTTTCGGGGTAGATTGCCAAAATATAGGCTGGCCATTGCCGGATTTGAGGCCATCAGTGCCGATAGTTCGGCAATGTTTAGATTGTTTAGCGAACCGGTAGGTGGAAATAGAAACGGATGTCCACCAGGACCGGGACCCGGGCCGACAGTGGCCGGGTTTGTCGGCAATTTCCACGATGACGATGAAGCTGCTGCCAGTGCTGCCTGACTGGCCATCAATAGGAAATCGTTTCCGCACGGTATTCGTCCCATTGCTATAATAATTTAATTTATTTTTTTTAAATTAATTTTATATAATAATAATAATTAGTCATATCATTAATTAGTAAATTTAATTTTATAATTTTATACAAACAAAAAAAATTAACATTATATACAACAATCTACTGAGTAGTCTACTGTATATATACATGTATATAATTTAATGTAATATAATTAGCTTATCTCTCTCTCTCTCTCTCTCTCTCTCTCTTTCTTTCTCTCTCTCTCAATGTCTCTTAAACTAATTAAAACAGGAATTTAATTAAATATCCAATTATGTGTTGCATAAACTATATATATATATATAAACTTAATTATAAAATAACTGATTGTTATTTATATTGAATTAATGGATCAACTAATTTGGGATATATATATATAATTTATATATACATTTATTGTACAATATATGTATATCTGTATAGCCCTTATCAATCACTTAATTGAATTTTGATCACTAATTTTGTTTTATTTTTTTTGTTGATTATTTAGTTTTGTTTGGACAATAATTTTTGTGGTTCACATTGTATGTGTGTGTGGGGTGGGGGTGGGTGGATAGGGATGTGTAATAATCCAGACCATACATACCTGCAGCGTTGACCAGCGCCTGGTGATCGTGCGGTGATAAGTCGGCACCAATTAGTGCCCGCAATGGCGAGTGTCGGAAGGCGTGCTCTCGTAATAGGGTTTCCACTGATTCTCTACAAAAAAAAAAAATTCAATTAAAAGTACAATTTGTTTAAACCGTATGTTTTTGTTGTGTGAATTATTTGTATACTATTTTTGTTGATAAAACTATTTTGACATCAATTTGTTTGAGAGAGAAAGAGAGTTAGAGTTAGAGAGAGAGAGAGAGAGAGAGAGAGAGAGAGAGAGAGAGAGAGAGAGAGAGAGAGAGAGAGAGAGAGAGAGAGAGAGAGAGAGAGAGAGAGAGAGAGAGAGAGAGAGAGAGAGAGAGAGAGAGAGAGAGAGAGAGAGAGAGAGAGAGAGAGAGAGAGAGAGAGAGAGATAAACTCAATCATACATTTAGGGTTAGAGTTAGAGTTAGTGGAGAAATTGATGTACAGATAGAGGGATAGTTAGGGTTAGGGTATTGGGTAGTCATTAATCATTAAATTTTTTTTTGTTGAGCTAATGATACTCATACTCAAACATACCGTACCCTATACTACACAAAATGATATTCATAAGTATAGACAACATAACATACATATATCTAATATAATATAATAATTTGTTAGATTTTTCTAATTTCTACTATTAGTTTCACTTTTAATTTAATTTATTATCTCTACTGTGTTGCTGTTATTATTGCATTTAACTGACAACCAGACAAAATAGACTCAACAAATACATGTATAATATATATATCATATACAGTAATATAATTTATTTAAATTGTTTTTCATGTTATTTATTAAATGCTAAACTTTTCAATTTGTCTATTAAATACTACTACTACTACTACTACTACACTATACTTACAAACAAACATAGAAACAATGATTTATTTTATCATAAAATATTCAACTTATACTATAAATATTTATGATTTTTTTGAAAATTATTAATAAATAATATATAAAAAATAATACTGTAATAATTTTATTACTTTAAATTATTTATATACTGTATATATGATATTTTTTGACAAACTCATAATTATAACGCCAATTGCATAGATTTTACTGATATTTAAAAAATAAAATGATTTTTATTGATTTTTATTGTTTATAGTAATGTACTGTAAATTATTATTAAAAAATATATGCTATAATAAAAAAATTAAATTATGAATGTCATCCTATAGTCAATTATATATATATATTTATTATTCAACTATCAATAATTATTCACAAAAAAAATAATTAATCATTAATTGCTAAATAAATTATCATTATTCTGGCATATAATGTAGAAAATATTTTTTTTAATTGATTTTTTCTCAATATTATAATTATATACTATTAATATATTATTTTTTAAAAATTTTTTGATTATTATTATAATCACCAGAATATTCACTAGTATTATACAAGTAATAGTGTATAAAACAATGTATAGGTAAGTAAAATGCAACAAATTTATTGTATATACCGATTAAAACAATTATTATAAGTAACCAATAAATTAATGTTTAGTTAAAAAAAATAATATAATGATTGTTTTTATTTTGTGTGTATAAAATAAAACACTAAACACAATCAATCACTATTTAACAAATTAGGAGAAAAATTTCCAAAAAAAAATTTTTTTTGTTTAAAACTCAAAAACCATTAATATTTTATATTTTTTCACAGCTCTAGATATACAAGTATATACCATATTATACAGTATTTTACATGTTATAGTAATAATATACATAAATACTTATATATTATAAAAGGCTTAAAATGCACTGGTAATGTATGTGTATGTGTATGTGTATGTGTATGTGTATGTGTATGTGTATGTGTATGTGTATGTGTATGTGTATGTGTATGTGTATGTGTATGTGTATGTGTGTATGTGTGTGTGTGTATGTGTGTGTATGTGTGTCTATATTGTGTGTGTAACATGTTTTTCAATAATTATCTAAATTACTGACATCAACAACAACAACAACAAAATAATCATTTATCACTACTACCAATGTTTTAACTAATACTGTATATAACTAACTACGAAACTACTATACATTTTTAAATATAATAATAATAAATCTTTTAATTTTTAGGATATTTGTTATGTTTTTTATTATTATATTTTTAAGTTTAATAAATAATGTATAAATAAATCAAACAGAATTCTCTCTCTCTCTCTCTCTCTCTCTCTCTCTCTCTCTCTCTCTCTCTCTCTCTCTAAATGTTAGTTAATATTAATAATTATAATAATTTAAATAATATCACAATTTTTAAAAATTGCTTTAAAATTATAGTAAATAAATTTTTTTTAGTAAATATGTTTTATAGATTCTATATATACTGTATATACATATATATATAAATATTTATATAATCTAAATTATATTTTCAATTGCCTTAAATAAATATATAAATTTTTTGTTTGATAAAAATTATTTTTTATATGCAAACAAACAAACAAAAAATAATTATTAGACATGATTATTTGCTAATATATAATAATATATACCCGTATATTATACTGTATATATAATTAAATTAAATTATACACACATACAGTATATAGATATTTAATATATAGTTTAGTATAGTAAAAAAAACTATTTATAATAAATAAATAATAATAATATTTAATTAATTTAATTTAATTTTAAAAAATGATAATAAAAATGTTTATTTACATTTCATACCTTTCCAGGTCAGTTAACCGACTCGAGTCACGAAACCCCTTAGCAAATGGGTTGCTATCGATCTTTAATTTGGTTATCTATTTAGTAATAATAATAATAATAATAATAATAATAATAATTAATTTATATATATATATATTAAAAAAATTAAAATAAATTACATACCAATTGATTTTGATAAGCAGTTACGGCTATGAACTGTGTTTCGGGAAATACAAACGTCCGAAACTGTTGCGACTCTATGTTGTTAATGACGGGTATATTGCCGTTATAATGATAATCGGGTCTCAGTTTAATTAAATGTATGCGCGGCTGATATTTGTGCATTGAATTCAATACAATCTATATAAAAAAAATAAATTTAAAAAATAATTAATTATTAGTATTAAATAGTTTTCAAAATATGGTATTGAAAAAAAAACTATTACCGGTAGGTTTTATTAATTAGATTTTTTTTAAACAAAAATTAATTATATATTTAATAATAAAATGTGTGATATTCAGGATGTAAAATATAATAATAATATATAATATATAATTAATCAATAATAATAAATTAATTGAATAGTGGGTAAAAAATTAAATGTCAACAAATTCAATAGTAGAAAAATATGTATTACAGTATTTATATTATTATTTTTTATATATATATATATGTTTAGATATACATTGTATATGTTTAATATTTTACACAGGTGTTACTAGTTTTCAAATTAAAACAATTGTTGATAACTTTAATTGAAAAATGTTTTTTAAAAAATTAACAAATGTTAGCAACATATAACAACTAATTGATTATATAATATACTGTAATAATAATAATAATAATAATAATAATAATAATAATAATAATAATAATAATAATTGTATAATAAATTTTTAGATAAATTTTTAAAACAAAACAAATTAAACAAAAATAACTATTACTAACTATATAAACACTATACAAGTATTAATACTATTAATATATTTAAAAATAAACTAAACTATTAAATAATTTAATTAAAAAAACTTACTATAAATTGAAAACACTTAACTATTATATATATATACAGTAATAACTATTACTAACTAAAATACTTTATACAAATATTAATACTATTAATATATTTTTAAAATAAACTAAATTATTAAATAATTTAACTAAAAAACTTAGTTTAAATTGAAAACACTTAACTATTATATATACTGTATATACAGTAATAACAAATACTGTATATACTGTATATATATTTATAAATTAATTTTTTGCTACTAATTTATCATATTATAGGGATGTATAGATAGATAGATAGATATAGGTATAGGCAATTGACATACATGTCCACTCTTATCCATTTCATTGTTGGTTAGTTTTGTCTTTTCAAATGATACAACTTGTTTGCGCAGTTGTTCGCCACTGAACGGTGCATCGGGATGTATGTACAGTCGGTTAGGTGCCGGTGCATCGGCTTTGCCGGCCACCAGCCACGAACTCCGGTGATAGGCATAACGATAGCGTTTGACATCGACGGGTACGATATCCATGAGCGCTACATACCGGGCCTCCGAGTCTATACCAGTGAACGAACAGCGAACAGTCGGAAACATGCGCCTAAATAAAAAAAAAATTCCCAAAAAAATATATTAATATTTATTTTTCACAAAAAATATACATTTGGTCTAATAATGATAAAATATTTATATATATATATATATATAAGTTATTATTTAATTAACTAAAAACTAATTTTATATATAATGTCTATGATATTAATACTGTAATAAGTAATGTTAAACTAAAAGTACGCTTAATTAATCAGTAATTTTATAATTATTAAATATTATATAATATTAAATTTATTATATATGTTATTAATATACATGATGTCTATGATAATATTAATAAGTAATTTTAAAACTAAAAGTACTAATAAAATTAATCAATAATTAAATAATTATTTATATAATTACTATTAAATACTATTAGATTTATTATATATAATATGTTATTGTTATACATGTATTATATATATATATATATATATATATATATATATATATATATATATTTGTATATTTTTGTATATTTTTGTATATTAATTTATAATACCAATAATAAATAATTTGTTAATCCAATTGTCATAACAAAACAAAAAATTCAATTTTAATAGACAATACCTTCCGGTTTTGGTGATAATCATTTCGGTACCCAATTCGTGAAACCGATCCCATAGTTCTTTGTTTTCCAGCCGACAATCGACTCGTTCGAGTTCCTGGCAGTTGCACCGGGACTTCAACAGTTCGGCACATGGATTAGGTTCCTGTTGTTGTTGTTGTTGAGATTTGGAGCTAACTTTCCCGTTCTTTTTATGATGCGATGATCCAGTAGATGGTTGTGCCGTAGCCGCCGGTGCCGGTGATGGCGACCGACACGACAGTTCCGATTGTGGCCGATCTGTTGCTATCGAGTATCGGCTTTCGCCTATCGATGACGAT